ACGCGGGCCTGTTGGCTCATTTGTCAGGACTCCTAACGCCCAGAGAAGAAACGGGAATAAGTAGTCCTGGGAGCTCATTAATAACAGAGGCCCAGGCAGGTCTGGAATCAGGGTCACTTGACTCCTTGTCCTCCTGTGGGCCAGGAGCTTCATGAGGGCGGCGACTAGGCTGTCTTGCCTTCCTCTGTGTGTCCCCAGTGTCCAGCACTTCATAGCCATGTCGTACATTTGTGTCAGCTGGATGACTCTGTTGGCCCTCCTTCCCCTGAGTTAGCGTGCTCAGCCCTGGCTGTACGATGAGCCACCCAGGGAGCTGTGAGCACATGTCAGTACCTGGTCTCGTGTCCTAAAGGTTCACATCCGAAGGTGTGGGCTGGGATCAAGGCAGGAATATTTGCAAAAAGCTTCCAGATGATTCTGCAGCCAAGTTTGGGAAGCACCGTCCTACCTCCTGCCCTCCCTTGCTGCTCTCTAGCTGCGGGCGTGAGAGAGAGAGGCTTGGTATCTTCCTCTGGGATGTCACACAGTCACTAGGTGGTTCTTCCTGGTTCATCTTGTCAACCTTTGTGTTCTGCTTAAAGGCATGCTGTTGTCTGTCACAGTGTGTGTGCGCGGTGCCATTAATTTCCTCCCAGCTCCTTGGCACCAGGGCGCAGGTATCAAAGCCACCCAGAGTGCTGTGGTTGTCCTCTGTTACAGCTCAGACCTTGACTGTACCTTAACTGACTGCCTATCTGCCTCCCATTATACTGACCTCTGAAGGTAGGGTGTTCGTCATCTCCTCCTCTTCGTCTGCAAGGCCAGTGCATGGCACATCTTGGCCTCTGCCAATCTTGAGTGAAGGGCATGGGCACCGTGGGGTTTTATTTTGCCTTCATGTTACAGAGAAAGCTGCTTCATGATAGTCTACAGCCTGGCCAGACGTACTTTGTATATCTTCTTCTGGTCCTGTTACCTTCCTTTAGAGGGGTGCGAGAGGCGCAGGGACAGCTGTCAGAGAAAAGGACATCCTATAAAATAGGGATGAGTATTTGGAATTCATTCTCTTATCTCTCCGGTGGAAGGGGAGCAGCTGCAATTAACATTCACAAAGCATGTTAGGAATTTGAAGCAATAGACAATAATGGCTCTGTGTAGAATGTCAGGATTGATTTTTCTTTCCACCTGACTGGTATATGCCAACCTGCCTCACTAGCGTGTAGTAATCCAGAAGGTTCATCTCCTATTATTGGTGCGTATTATCAGATGAGCTTCCTGCCCACCCCAGCCCCCTTTTCTTCTTCCTCAATACCTGGCACGAAGCAACCTTGAATGATACTCCTTTGTGCCAGTGCCTCTGGGCTCCGACCCACACTCTTGATTGTTGGGGAGGTAGATAATTTGGCTATTTTTTCTCCATTCTCACCAAAAGGATGTTGCTGAATGCAGAATGCTAAAGCCAGCCCTCTTCTGCCTTCTGGTGCTAGCTGCTCTGAAGTCACTATATTTAACATCAAAGTGTAGACCGCAGCAGCCAAGAAACCAAGCCACTGGATTGTGAGGCTCCTCCCAGCAGGACTGCCTGGGATTGCGGGCTGTAGGGGTGGGGGTACGGGTGCAGAAAAGCCAAGCCTGAGAGAACACTGCCGTTGCCATCAGGGTCCAGGCTTCAGGGCGTCCTGGCTCGCAGCTCCCACCAGTCTTCTTTTGTGAATGGAGAAAATGCCACGGCAGTAGCATTAGGATAATAACACTGTCTTGCACAGAAGGTTTAATGGGAGCTGTGTTAGCTCCTGCCCAGCCCTGCCCTTCCTAGCCCAGTCCTGCCCTGCCCAGCCCTGCCCAGTCCAGCCAAGTCCAGCCCTGCCTAGCCCTGCTCAGCCTTCCCCTACCCTGCCTTGCCCTGCCTAGCCCTATTCTGCCCAGCCCTGCCCAGCCCTGCCCAGCCCTGCCCTGCCCAGCCCTGCCCAGCCCTGCCCAGCCCTGCCCTGTCCAGCCCTGCTCAGCCCTGCCTTGCCCTGCCTTGCCCTGCCCAGCCCTGTTCTGCTCTGCCCAGCCCTGCCCAGCCCTGCCCAGCCCTGCCCTGCCCAGCCC